GCTTGCTCCTTGGAAGAAAAGTTATGACCAACCTAGACAGCATATTAAAAAGCAGAGCCATTACTTTGCCAACAAAGGTCCATCTAGTCAAGGCTATGGTTTTTCCAGTAGTCATGTATGGATGTGAGAGTTCGACCATAAAGAAAGCTGAGCACCGAAGAATTGATGCTTTTGAACTGTGGTGTTGGAGAAGACACTTGAGAGTTCCTTGGACTGCAAGGAGATCCAACCACTCCATCCTCAAGGAGATCAGTCCTGGGTGTTAAGGACTGATGCTGAAGCTGAAACTCCAATACTTTGGCCACCTCTTGCAAAGCGTTGACTCATTGGAAAAGACCCTGATGCTGGGAAAGACTGAGGGCAGGAGGAGAAGGGGACGACAGAAGATTAGATGCCTGGGTGGCATCACCGACTCGATGGACATGGGTTTGGGTGGACACCAGGAGTTGGTGATGGACAGGGATGCCTGGCGTGCTGTGGTTCATGGGGCCACAAAGAGTCAGACACGACTGAGTGACTGAACTGAACTGAACTGAACTAGACTAATTTTTGCAACTTTTCCTATATATATTAACCTTTTTAATTTTTATTTTATTGTCTGGTTTAGAATCACTGTATATGACTCTGCAGATTGTGGTCCACACAAATATAGGGCCACTACTATGTTGTCATCTGCATGATCTCTGTCACTGTAAATGACAGTTGTGGGATGGCAACATTTTATTTTATTATATTAATATTACATGATTATTCCTTGTACTGATTTATTCATTTTTGAATGTTATTGAAACAGCACAGTTCATATGACCAAAGTAGTAGGTATTAGGCTAACTTGTATAAGATATTTCTAATGCTTTTTTTCACCTCTTATTACTCCCATGCACAATTATATATATATATATATAGCAATCTTAAACTATTTTTTAAAATCTTTCTTTGACTGAATTATCATGCAGTTTTCTTTGAATTCCTTAGTGTTGATAAAGCAGATGATGAAGATGATGAGGACTTAACAGTGAACAAAACTTGGGTCTTGGCACCGAAGATTCATGAAGGAGATATAACACAAATTCTCAACTCCTTGCTTCAAGGCTATGACAATAAACTTCGCCCAGATATAGGAGGTAAGTTTGAGTAATCATTCTGGGACTTTGGTACCTATGAAAGCCACACTTACTGATGTTGCTTTAATCATATCTCATGTTTCTTGAGTTTCTGACAAATGTTATAAACTTCTAGGTTTGACAGTTATTAGTTGGACTGGTACCACTTCAAAAGATTCACAGTTTGATGTGGGAAGAAAGATATCTAAATATTTTTGATGTCATTATTTTACAACTGCTACAACAAAGGGTGCAATAGAAAAGTTTTGATAAAATAGCCATCAAAATTTTGATATAATGCTAAGAGATACTTCATAAAACAGAACATTTCAAATGTAACCAAGAGTTCTGATTCTGTACAGTACTGCTGCACTGTCTTAGATAATGTAGAATTATAAGCCTTGAGAGTATATTTAGTGTAGGTGATCCAACTTTGTTCTTCTTTGTCAAAATTGTTAGTCTCAGTTCTGTGCTTTTTTGTATACATCTTATAACATGATTAACTTCTGTTTCTCCTGTGACAATTTAAAACAAAGAAGCTAAATACATTAGTAAGTCAGCAAACATTTTTATTGAAATTGCATTCAATCTATGATCAATATAGGGAAATTGAAATGTTACTATATTGAATTTTTACCAAACCAAATTCATGATCATCATATATCCTTCTATAGGTATTCTATTTTTATTAATGTTTTCTGAAAAAAATTCTGAATGTATTTTGCTAGATTTAATTATCTATATTTGGAGGTTTTGATATAAGCATAAATAGATTTTTAAAAAATTTTATTTTGTAAGTTTTTATTAGCAGCATATGGAAATACAATAGACATTTTGCTATCTATAGTATCCTCAGCAGCCTTGCTAAATTTATCATCTTTATTTATTGAATGATGATTATTACAAATAATGACAACTTTGCCAATAGTGTCCATTTTTTTAATTTATTTTTTTAATTTTTATTTATTTTATATTTCTTTCAGAAATTTGAAAGGATTATTTGATAAAATCATGTTGACCTAGAGTTTGCACTTGAGGAAAAATTTTTAACAGTTCAATTACTTCAATAATCAGTTTTGGTGGGCTTTCAAGGAACTTGAATTTACTAATGTTAAATTGCTTCATAAAACTTCTGTGGTATTTTTAGTGAGTTTTAGCACTAAGGATTTTTCCCCTTTGTCACTTATATTGATGAACTGTTCTTTCACTTGTGAATAAATCCTAAGGACTTAGAGTGTTTTATCAGTTTGTCGTAAAGTCAAATATTGGGTCTGTCAAATTTCTTTGTTGGAGAATGTCTTAAATGTCACTATGTTGTTTATTATGTTAATTCATTTTCTGTGTATTTAATTTCCTGTGTTCCTACATTGTTTTAAATGTTTCATTTCAAAATAGAATTTAGACTTAGTAAAATACTATCTGGGCTTCCCCGGTGGCTCAGCAGTAGAAAGAATTCTCCTGCATGTCCAGGAAATGTGGGTTTGATGTCTGGGTCAGGAAGATTGACTGGAGAGGAAATGGTAATCCATTCTAGTGTTCTCTCCTGCAAAATCCCATGGACAGAGGAGCCTGGAGGGGTACAGTTCATGGGGTTGCGAAGAATCAAGACACGACTAAGCGACTCAACAACAACAAAATGCTATCTATGTATGGGATTCCCATAAACCTTTTAAATGTGCTGTTAACATTTGTATAATCATAGAACCATTACCTAAATCAATGAATTAGTAGTATCAATACAATAATACTAACTAATCTATAGACCTTACGCAAATTATGCTAGATGCTTCACTAATGACCTCTTTCCTGGTTCAGAACCCTAACCGAGGTCACACACTGCGTTGTTCTCATGCCTCGACACTCTCTTCCAGTGTGGTATAGTTTCTCAGTTTTTCTGTTTGGTTCATGAACTTGATAACTTTAAAGTATATTAGCCAGGGTAAACCACTCAATTTGCCTGATATTGTCATTATTGAATTGTGCTTATGCATTTTTGCCAAGAATACCACAGACTGATATTTTGTGCTTTTCTGCACGTGTGCTCACAAAATGAAGCAGGGCAAAGGCTAACAGAGTTTTCCAAGAGAACGCACTGCTCACAGCAAACACTCCCTTCCAGCAACCCAAGAGACAAACCTACACATGGCAACACCTGACGGTCTATGCTGAAGTCAGATTGATTATAAAGTTTGCAACCGAAGATGCAACAGCACTGTGCAGTCAGCAGAAACAAGACTGGAACTGACTGTGGCTCAGATCATTAGTTCCTTGTTGCAAAATTCAGACTTAAACTGAAGAAAGTAGGAAAATTCACTAGCCAGTCAGGTATGACCTAAATCAAACCCCTTACAGTTATACAGGGTAAGTGACGAATAGATTCAAGGGATTAGATCTGATAGAGAGGTTAGATCTGGTAGACCAAAACAATCCCAAGGGAAAAGAAATGCAAGACAGCAAAGTGGTTGTCTAAGGAAGCTTTACAAACAGCTGAGGAAAGAAAAGAAACAAGAAGCAAGGGAAAAAGGGAAGGATATACCTGAATGAATGCAGAATTCAACAGAATAACATGAGAGAAAAGAAGATCTTCTTAAATAAACAATGCAAAGAAGTAGAGAAAAACAATAGAATGGGAAACACTAGAGATCTCTTCAAGAAAATTGGAGATATCAAGGAAACATTTCCTACAAGGATGGGCACAATAAAGGACAGAAACAGTAAGGACCTAACAGAAGCAGAAATGATTAAGAAGAGGTGGCAAGAATACACAAAAGAACTGTACAAAATTGTCTTAATGACCCGAATAACCACTATGGTGTGCTCAGTTACCTAGAGCCACACATCCTGGAGTGTGAACTTAACTGGACCTTATGAAGCATTGCTATGAACAAAGCCAGTGAGGTGATGGAATTCAAGCTGAGCTATTTAAAATCCTAAAAAATGAGACCATTTAAGTGCTGCATGCAATATGTCAGCAAATTTGGAAAACTCAGCAGTGGGCACAGGACTGGAAAAGGTCAGTTTTCATTCCAATCTCAAAGAAAGGCAGTGCCAAAAAATGTTCAAACTACCATAAAATTGTGTTTATTTCACATACTAGTAATGTTATGCTCAAAAACCTTCAAGCTAGGCTTCAGCAGTACATGAACCAAGAACTTCTAGATGTACAAGATGGATTTAGAAAAGGCAGAGGAACTAGAGATCAAATTGCCAACATTCATTGGATCATAGAGAAAGCAGAGGATTTATAGAAAAACATCTACTTCTACTTCATTAACTATGTTAAATCCTTTGACTGTGTGGGTCACAATAAACTGGAAGATTCTTGAAGAGATGGGAATAACAGACCACCTTACCTGTCTCCTGTGAAGCCTGGAGCAAAGTTAGAACCTTACAGAGATCAACTTACTGGTTCAAAACTGTGAAAGGAGTATGACATAGCTGTGTATTGTCACCCTGTTTATTTAACTTGCAGAATACATCATGTGGACTGCTGGGCTGGATGAATCACAAGCTGAAATCAAGATTGCTGGGAGAAATATCAGTAACCTCAGATATGCAGATGGTGCCACTCAAATGGCAGAAAGCAAAGAGCGTCCTGATGAGGGTGAAAGAGGAGAGTGAAAATGCTGGCTTAAAAATCAACATTCAAAAAATTAAGATCATGGTAGCTGGTCCCATCACTTCACAGCAAATAGAAGGGGAAAATGTGGAAGCAGTGACAGATTTTATTTTCTTGGGCTCCAAAATCACTGCAAATGGTGACTGCAGCCACGAATATAAAATATGCTTGCTCCTTGGAAGAAAAGCTATGACAAACCTAGACAGTTTACTAAAAAGCAGAGACATCACTTTATTGACAAAGGTCCCTATAGTTAAAGTTATATTTTTTCCAGTAGTCATGTATGGATGAGTGAGTTAAACCATAAATAAGGCTGTGGTGGTTTAGTTGCTAAGTCATGTCTGACTCTTGTGACTGCATGGACTGTGGTCTGCCAGGCTCCTCTTTCTATGGGATTCTCCAGGCAAGAATACTGGAGTGGGTTACCATTTCCTTCTCCAGGGGGTCTTATCTGCCCAGGAATCGAGCCCTGGTCCCCTTCATTGCAGGTAGATTTACCAGCTTTACCAACTGAGCAATGAGGGAAGTCCCCTAGTGAAGGCTGAGCACCAAGGAATTGCTGCTTTTGAATTGTGGTGCTAGGGAAGACCCTTTAGAGTTTCTTGGACTGCAAGGAGATCAAACCATTCAATCCCTAGTGAAGTCAATCCTGAATATTCATATGAAGGACTGATGCTGAAGGTGAAGCTCCAATACTGTGGCCATCTGATGCAAAGAGCCAAGTCATTACAGAAGACTCTGATTCTGGGGAAGATTGAAGGCGGGAAGAGAAGGGGACAACAGAGGAGGAGATGGTTGGATGGCATCACGGACTCAATGGACATGCGTTTGAAGAAACTCCAGGAGGTGGCCTGTTGCAGTCTATGGGGTCACAAGAGTCAGATATGACTTGGGGACTGAACTGCAGCCTCCTATAACTTGACTGCTCTTTCCTTTTATGTTGACGTCGTTTCCTAGGCATATCCTTTTCTTTCTAGCACATAAGATATTTCAGGCTCATCTTGATCCAGGAATGTAATTCACCGTATCTCTAAAACTCCTGGTCCCCCCTTTTGTAGAATGATATATAGAAACCAAGATCTGGGTACTTGGTGGTGATGGTGGTTTAGTCGCTAAGTCATCTGACTCTCTGACCCCATGGACTGTAGCCTGCCAGGCTCCTCTCTCCGTAGCATTCTCCAGGCAAGAGTACTGCAGTGGGTAGCCTTTTTCTTCTCCAGGGGATCTTCCCAACTCAGGAATCAAACCTGGATCTCCTGTTTTGCAGGCAGATGCTTTACCAACCGAGCTATCAGGGAAGCTTGCCTGATAGCTCAGTAAAGAATCTGCCTGCAATGCAGAAGACCTCAGTTAGATTCCTGAGTTGGGAATATCCCCTGGAGAAGGGATAGGCTACCCACTC